GGTTGGTAATATCCTTGTTTCTGCAAATGTGCCAGTTTATTTACTATTACAATTATTTAAATGGCATTAAACCAACATTTCTGCGCGTATTCCGTATGATGTCTGGCGTGGGTACACCGGCGGCACTCGGTTTAAATAATCCAGGTCAAATAATGTTTCTAGTCAAACGAACCCGGATTGTATTTAGGTTAATATTCTTGAATACCAAACTTTTTGTAGTCGGTGAGGCTCCAATTCTAATTGTATTTTATTACATTTACACCCCATTGCAAATAACTCTGATATATGGGGTTCCGAATGGAATATTCTACACATTTTTACTTAACTACCATGCCAATATTCTGTTGTATAAAACGGCACATCTATATATACTATGTCTGTATTTAAAGCACAAATTGCGTATAAATCACGATAAACTCCTGTCTATGATTGGAAAGCGACGGCAAAATGCGGGCCAAACTGTGGCCGTAATTAAAGAGTTGTATGCATTGTATGCAGAGATCCGGGAATATAACGGCACGTATTGGTCAAAGTATTTGTTCATTTTCCTGTTAGCCTATTCATCGTCAATAGCATTGTTTGCTTCTGTGGTAGTATTTATACACATGACCATCATGGTCAAATTGGTGTTCGCGTATCTCGCTATCAATATATTAGCCATTATATTGTTTGAGAATATGTGGCGGAGAAGCCAGTTATGACTTCGGCATTTTCGTTTATTAAATAACTTAAGTAAGTAACGAGCGTTACAATATGTGTTTTTGTAAAATCACAGGTTATAATAGTTCCATAAAAAAAAATAAATGTCTGAAGTATTATTAATAATACATTTTATTATTATTTTCTATTAAAATAATCTAGTTAAATACATTAATTGAAACGATTGGCAAAAACAAAGTGGGCTTTTCGTGTTGGGCAATGTTTGTAATTAACAAGAATCGTTGCTTCGAAGTAAGTATTTTAATTAAGCTTGCTCATATTTATAATTGTGATAATTTTATTTTTCACCAATACATACATGTAGATCATTGCATTCTTATCGTCTATGTTTTTAAAAGCGGCTAAAGATTATTATAATTAAAGTCCAGAATTATATTGTATGGCTATTATGGTAATCACGATATTGAAATTAGTTATTATTTATTATAATTGTCATTCATTAATAATCATTATTATTAGTATTTAATATACCAATATAGAATTTATATAATATTTAAATATAAAATATAATATTTAAAATATATTGAAATTAATTTTCTCCTTTTCTGTCTTTATAATTTGCATACATTTAATAAAACTAATTACTAATAAGCGCATAAAATATAACAACTGTATTCTAGACACAAACACTGGCACCTTTAGAGGTCAGCATATACCTGTTTTCCACTCACTGTACTTAACTCACACAATACATACACATGCAATTGTATTGATAGTATTAAAAATGTAACCATTTTTTCATTGCTCGATTTTGCCTCCAGGTGTTTTCCACTTCTAACTGAACGGAATTTAAGAATGATTTCTGTCTTTATTATTTGCATACATTTAATATTATATGACTGTTAAGTGATTATATAATAATTTTTACAATTCCTAAATTAAAAACATTCAAATTTATAGAATAATACATTGATTGAGACGATTGGTAAACAAAATGTGGGCTTTTCGTGCTGGAAATTGTTTGTAATCAATAAACTCAGGTCTATTGAGGTAAGTATTTTAAAATGAAACATGCTTATAAATTACACATTTTTATTATAATTACAATTAAATTTCATCCCCCTATAGATCATTGGATTTTTATCGTCATTATTTTTAAAATTTACTAAAGTTTATTGCAATTAAAATAATATTATTTTTAGTAATAATAAGTATGGTATAATAAATATTGTTGGGTACACTAATATTTATTTATAATTTATTGTGACTATACAAAAATAATATAGAAAATTATTTATTAACCCTACTTATGTTGTTTGCTGTATTTGGCTAGTTTATTTATAAATTATAATTCATTTATAAGTTAATTATACCAATTTATAAAATATTATAATATACATATATTATTATTGCGTGATTATGACAAAAAATATTTACCATTCAACAGTAATAATTTAAATTCTAAAAAATACTTTAAAAATATTGTGCATTCATTATAAAATTTATTTATCTTGTAAATTAATAGAAACAACAGTCGAATTGTAAAATTTATGAATATCATTAATTAAAAATGCAATAATATAATGTTGACATAATAATAATATATTACACTAGAATTCAATTGCTTTTAACTTATGATCAAATGATTTTTACGAACGCGAGCTTTCGGTCAAATCATTTTTGCGTTCAGTCTATTCATTATTACATCAGTGAGTGTTGTATTGGAAGCACTGCGACAGTTTCAAGGCCGCAGTTTCAATGACTGCATTGTTTCCACACAACACTCACTGATGTAATAATGAATAGCCATCAGACCCTTACTCCCGCCTATAAACCGCACGAAGAGAGAGAGAGCTGTAGATTCTGTAATGTAGAATATTTGGCAAGTGCTATATTTATTGCCTTCAAATTTTTTACATTGTGTTCATACAAGTTTTTACTTTTAAAGTTATTGTATGCATACTATTCTGAATCTAAACTATGTCTAATTGACGTCTGGAAACTATTGTATGTTAATTATATTGGAATTATTCTTGAAGTAATTAATATTTTTAAATTTTTTACTGTTAAGATATTTTAATTTTTATAATTAAATCTAATGAAAGTACATTATATTTAGGACACATACCTGTGTTATAGAAATAATGTGGAGCTATAACTGATGCATATATTGCTTGCGCGGAATTATTACTGTTATCTTCATTGATGTCAATCACACTAATTGTCTGTCTTTTAAATTTTTTCAAACAAATTAAATATACGATTCTTGTAAACGCAAAGAATGTGACAATCATTACAAACATAACAATCCTATAAACATATTACATAATTATAAAATGTAAAATTTAAAACAACAATAAGAGTAATTTACCAGAATGCCCAGGCATTCAAATTAAGATTGGTGAATAACGGCTTTACACCCCATGAACCAGCCATCATAAACTTTTAAATAACGTCGGTTAAAAATAAATTATTTCTTATATCCGGAATTTATTTAAAGAATATTCCAAAGAATTGAGAGTTTCTAACAATAAATCTATTGAGAAATTATTAATGTTTTTCTATTTAAGTGAATTTATGTAATGCACAAAATATAGCACTTATTAACTCATAAATCAATTTCATAAAGAAATCGAAAGTCTTTATGTTTTTATACAAGTTGTATAATAATTATTCACAAGTTTTTTCTTTAGTAAATATATTTCTATGCATTTCAATAGTGTTGCTATAGTTATACAAATGAGACCCTATTTGTCAATAATTGCAATCCAAGTGTTTTCTTGGTTTTGTTGTGACATTTAATATATCATCAATACTTTCTATGATATAAAACAAAAAGTATATAAAATAATTGTCGAAAATAATAATCAAGTGAATGGTAGAGTTAGGAGACTCTTCTAAATGATATTATTATATCAATAAATACAGTAAAGGTGGTACATCAATTATGGTAATATTATATCAATAAAACTATATATAATATTTTAGAATTCCATTTTAATATTAATTTATTTATAAATTAATTCTAGATTAAAGCACAAATATTTCATTACATAATATAAAAATATCTTATTTGAAAACTTTTTAAACCTCCTTGTTGCATTTTGTTGAATTAATGTTGTAATCAAAATTATTTTCTCAAAATTTTAAAATTCTTTTGATATAATTCATTATATTTTCTTTCTATAGAACCAATTGATGAATATTAGTTATTATTGATTTCATTTCAATAAAAAGTACATTTTGTTATTATTAACAAAAATGCAGTTTAATTAATCTCCAAAATTGTGAGCCGATATTGTTTTACTAATTTATAAAACAAAAAGCATTTATTTCTTTTCAATGGCGCAAAAGCCGGGATTGAAATAAAGTTTTTTGACAAATCCTTTAGTTTGCGTTTCAATGGCCTGTTTAATAGTACTTCCATTCATTTCGCTAATCCTTTCGTGCAGTCTTTCGGCCACTTTAATGGTCACCAAATCGTGCAGATGTTCTCTGTGTGCAAATTCTGCCAAACAATTGGCCAATTCGTAGCCAAACCACGAACCCGTCGATACATTACGTAGAGAGGCGTAGCCTATAATAGGAATTATAAATTTTAATAAATTAGTTCAAATATGTTAACCATTCATATATTGAATATTCAATCATAAATCCAATACTTGCTAACCTTCAATAGTAGAATAGTACACAAATATATCACTCCAAGTGGGCATAACACTCGCCGCCGCACCCAATGAGCCCATTGGACGAGGGCTTGAATTTAGCGACTTCTTTATTCCTGAATCAATTTGAGCTGAAATCAAGGGTTAAACTTATTTTATAATCTTATTTAACACACGGTTTGCTTGACGTATAAAACACTCACATCCTCTACAGGCGCTCAAAAAGAACATTTTAGGCTTATTTATAAGTAACGGACAGTTCTTGTTATTGAAATACCCAATGATTGTGTCGACCGATACGGTTAGGCCATCCGTGCCGTAGATCTCATCCTTAACGCCGTGAGAGAGGATAATAATGGCCAACGCGTCGTGACTGACCAACTCGTTGTTCTTCGCGATCACATCCTGTAATAGAGTTTTCATTTCAACACTCGTTTTGTTTGTGTAAAGTTTGACATCAAATAGGAGTTGAGAGAAGACATCGGCGAGTCTATAGGCATCGTTTCGGGAGCCCGTCCTAAATGGCAGAGTGTTTCCCGCAAACAATTGGTTGTCAATTATGATACAAAAGCCTCGCGGATGGGATGTCATTGGGTAGACGTCGCCGTATTTGTTGCTCTTTACTTTCGTCGCCGGCTTTACAGCAAACGGTTCGTCCGATAATTTGGGAATCGAGAGAAGATCTTTGAATCTAATCACCCATTGATTCGTTAGACTTATTAGACTACTGTCCGCCTCTTCGGATGGCATTTCCAATTCGTCGGTCACTAAACCCGACGACAGTATAATCTGAGCAAAACTTTCGATGTCTTTCCGATCTCTCAATTCTATATCAGTTATAATTGTCGTCAATTGATTTGTGGTGTCATTTGAATCACATTTATTCTGAATTTTAAAATTAAATATAAAAAAAAGTTACCATTTGTTAATTTAAATCACGAATAATATATTATATAAATACTAGTAAATCGTTGAGGTTTCTCTCTTCAAACAATTTATTCTTAATTAATAATAGTTTTAATTGAGACAAATTGGCCAAAATATTTTGATCCATATTAAAAAATATTCTAAAAATAATTTAATAATAACAAATGAGGTATAATTTATACACAGAAAATAACTTTGGTAATATGGTAACTTTTCGCAATTATAATGAAACTCCTTATCCAACGCAATGAATTGATAAGATAAAAGTTATTTACCTGTAATGATTACAATTACTGTTTTATTGTAATCACATCTTTATTTTAATTACAATGAAAAATAGCATTTAATTTAACGACTTTTATTACAGGTATTGAATATTCATTATAAATTCAATAATCAATATTCAATAATCAGTAACTAATATACTAAAGCAAATACATGGGTGGGTGACACTGAGGGAGGGAAGTATAATATTTAGTGCAGTGACGTACAGTGTGTACATTATTGGACTCCTCAAAAGTAAACTCAAATATTTCGAAAAGTATTCGGTCTAAAAATTCAAATGATATATCAAATTAATTGTCAACTGCGGGAGTTTTTGTTATGATATAATCAATATGGTTAATCTCATATTTTAAAATTAATCTCAAAACAACCAAAATTTTGTCATTTTTTCCATAGATATAATGTTAAATTCAAACTTAATTTTGAACAGAATCATGAGATACGTTTCAAGTTATTTATGCTCTTGTTTAAGAATCTGTAATCAAAATTCTTGTGGTGCATGTAGTTTTTGTATTATAGATAATTTTTTTGAAAAAGTTGTGTATTTTAAGATGATATCATTCTGAAATATTGAATATGCAGCACAATAATTTTGGTTACAGATCTGCAAACAGGAGCATAACAGTTGACAGTTAACAGTTTAGAGTTAACAATTGGAGTTAACAGAATTGAGCGGAAAACAGGTATATGATGGACCTCTTATGGTGCCAGTGTTTGTTTAGAGAATGCAGTTGTTATATTTCAAGCGCTTATTAGTAATCAGTTTTATTAAATGTATGCAAATAATAAAGACAGAAATCTAAAGTGGAAACCACCTGGACGTCAAAACGGCCTTTCGAAAAATGGTTCCATTTTCAATACTATCAATACAATCACATGTCTATGGATTGTGTGAGTTAACAGAATTGAGTGGAAAACAGGTATATGATGGACCTCTTATGGTGCCAGTGTTTGTTTAGAGAATGCAGTTGTTATATTTCAAGCGCTTATTAGTAATCAGTTTTATTAAATGTATGCAAATAATAAAGACAGAAATCTAGGAAAACAGGTATATGATGGACCTCTATTGGTGCCAATGTTTGTGTCGAGAATACAGTTGTTATATTTTACGCGCTTATTAGTAATCAGTTTTATTAAGTGTATGCAAATAATAAGGACAGAAATCTTTATCAAATTTCATTCAGTAAGAAGTGGAAACCACCTGGACGTCAAAACGGCCTTTCGAAAAATGGTTCCATTTTCAATACTATCAATACAATCACATGTCTATGGATTGTGTGAGTTAACAGAATTGAGTGGAAAACAGGTATATGATACACCACTTTTGGTCCCGAAATTTTATGCAAATTAAACTAAAACGCATTTTTTTTTTTTGAAGAAAAGCTAAAAATATGATTATAAAAATGCACACATTTTGACAAAACATGCACTTAATTCTGGACATTCAGGTTTAGTCGCATTCATATTAATATTTTCTTATAGAATGTGAGAATATTGAGAATTAAATATGATTTGAACGCCAATTATGTTAATTAGTAATAATTAATAGCAGTTTTGTTTAAATGTTTGATTTCCCAATCATTAATATTTACATCATTAATGAATTGAATGCACTGTTTGTTTACTATTTGAAGGCCACTAATGAGCTGTTAATCCAAACAACTCTTAAAACAGACATTTGATGTCCATATGTGAAGGACAGGACTCCTATCCATGCATTCAACACATATTCTCGCAATCAATATTGAAATCGCAATTATTTTAGTTCAAAAACTTTCATTTTAAATAATTTAACAAAAGGTGTAAATCTAGTAATAATTGCCATAAAATGTCGTATCAAATAATCTCCAGACATGAGATGCACTCATTCATGAGGAGAGCGATGGTATCCATTGGAACCAATGGTTCGCACGCGGAGTCTCTCGCAGATGTGCTCGTAATGGGCGACTATAGGGGACACTTCAGTCATGGACTCAACCGATTGGGTCTCAATATATGTCGATTGTATTGCTGTTGTATTGACTCAATTATCTCAATGAACAGAATTATATTTGGAAGACATCACCACTAAGTCATGCAAAGCTGAAGGCGAGCCCACAATCCTGAAGGAATCCGGGGCTACGGCTTGGGTCGATGGCAACAACCTATTGGGACCCGTTGTGGGCAAGTTCTGCATGAATTTGGCCATCAAAAAGGCCAAAGAATCCGGAATCGGTTGGGTTGTGGCCAAAGGTACGCTAATTGTCGCAAATATATTCGGAATATCTCTTAATATACAATAATATGAGTATTTTATTTGTTTAGGAAGTAATCACTTTGGAATCGCTGGTTATTATAGTCTCTTAGCACTGGAACAGAATCTCTTGGTTTGCATTTTATAATCGATTGACTTCTTATAAATTATTTATTGCATACATAATCAGGGAATGGCTTTCACTAACGCCTCACCACTTATGGCTACAACTCGAGGAAAAGAGCCATTTTTTGGCACAAATCCGTTATCATTGGCGGCTCCGGCCAATAATGGGGACAGTTTTGTGTTAGATATGGCCACTTCGGTCGTGGCTTTGGGCAAAGTAGAGTTGGCCGACCGTAAGGGCGAACCCATTCCCAACAATTGGGCCATCGATAAGAATGGACAGCAGATAACTAATCCCAAAGATCTGAACGCATTGTTACCGTTGGGAGGCGTCGAGAAATCAAGTATTGGACTCTCAATTGGACTCTCAATTTGATTATTAAATTTTAATTCATTTGATTGTAAAAAAGGCGGTTATAAAGGCTATGGTTTGGCCGCAATGGTAGAGGTATTCACTTCTATACTATCGGGCGCTACGGTTGCGCCTAATGTGAGGAAATGGGGGGACAATCATAAGACCGCTGATTTGGTAAACAATTGAAGGCTATATATGAACGCATTTAAAGCCACTAATGTCTATGAATGTTAGGGCCAGTGCTTTATCGCCATAAATCCGGAGATGTTTGCGCCCGGCTTTACCAATAGGATGTCTGAATTGATCGACTCGTGCCGTAATCAAGAACCGGCTGCGGGTCAGCCCAATGTGTTGGTGGCCGGAGATCCTGAACGCGAACACATGAAGAAGTGTGACTCCCAGGGAGGCATCGCATACCATATCAATCAAATTGAATTCGCGGTAAAATATGCGCTCAAATGGCTTTGCATTTATG